TATTTCGTAAGCACTAATCAATTCTTAATTTGTCTGACCAACTTCCTGGTTCTTACGAGAGCTATGAAAATGAATTCGAAAATTGTGCATTTCAATGCTAAATTACTTGACAAAGGACACGAATTCCTAAATGAAGAAATCACATATATTCCTCAGACATAATTCAACGATCAATTTTTAACTAAAATCATTTTATGAGAACAAATTATAAAACATTTTTATAAAACGAGTACATCTTTCATTTCTGTTATTATAACTACGAGTATTTCCGACAAGTAGCTGATTGTACTGAAATTGTCATTATTCCGTCTGTATTAAATTGTTTGTGTGAATTTTGCAAATAGGTTGTAAAGATAAATGCAAAAGATATAAAAGATATAATTATATGTAATCTATCATGAATGTTTAAAAAAAAACAAATTATCCTCCTCAACACCCCCCCCCCCACACACACACACACACGCACGCACGAACGCACGCACACACACATAAGGTAGTAGTTACTACATTACTTGGATAATTGTGAAATTGTGACAGAGAAAGATTGTAGAGAGATCTTTTTATATATTAACGGTGGCACAAAGGTGACATGTGTGTGTTTTTATTTATCTCGTGGCCACGAGACACTTTGTCGTGGCCACGAGTTACTAAGTCGTGTCATGTAGTCGTGTAGATGTCATCTACTGATCAGGTGCAATGATCTTTCTTCTAAATTATTCATCAGACAAGGATTTTACCTTATAGGCTATTAACTGTTCATGGGCAATGTCCCTTACAAATAAAATAAACCATTCCTTCTCATGTTATCGTATAAACAAGGTTAACAGGCCGTAGTACGTACAAACTGACCAATTTGATCACAATCTTGCCCAACAAAGAGCTATAGTCAAAATTAATGTCTGATGGGCCTTGGAAGGTGACTTTCTAATATGATCTTAAAGACAAGTTCAAAGTGAATATCTTCAGTATTTTCAAAGATTAATGTTGCATGTAAAAGTAAGTTGTTAAGTATTAAAAAAAATCATAATATATATAGTGTTTTCTGATTGGTTAATAATCTCGTGGCCACGACTTAGTTATCTCGTGGCCACGTGGCCACGACATAGAATCTCGTGGCAACTACTTAGCTATCTCGTGACCACGACTTAGTAACTCGTCTCGTGGCCACGAGATAAATAAAAACACATAAAAATCCCCCGTGAAAAATAGAATATAGATCGGTTAGAAACAGTTATCTCTGACTGCTTTTGCGTGAACCTGAACTCAACTAAAGCACGAAATGGGACCTAGAAGCTCCAGTGTGGACTTCTTGCGATGACACGTGTCCCAGTTCGTGCTAGGTGCACTCTTGAACCTCAATCCCTTATGTAGTGGTCGGGAGCCAGGAGTACCCTTACCGATAAGTTCTATGCGCAGGTGTCAGAGGCAACAGTTACCATTGCAGTACTTAGTTTAATATTTATAGTTATAACAAGAGAAAAGAAAATAGGAGGGTAAAGGATGTAATTTAAATTAATATTTTCGTCTTCTGAGTGTACATCTAAACATGTAAGAAGATAATAAATGTGTTTGATTCATATGAGAGATTAGCATCGCCGAATAGAAGTATAGATGGGTTGTCAGTTGTAATATTTTGTAGATTGTCAAGAAGAGTAGCAAGTTGTGCATTTAAACGTTGACACTTTAGTTATGGCACGTGTCTTCAATTTCCTCACATTCCTATACAACATCTGAGCATTCAAGAAGCCTTATAAACGTAGTATAGATGATTTCTAGAGGTTTTCTATCAAGAATAAATTCCAATTTTCTCATTTATAGTATTTTAATAATGGTTACATATTCCTTTTATGTTTTTTGTATCTAAGTTTGATATGTATGTATGTATGTATATTGATGAGACTATGGTAAATAATGAAATATTCAAGATATGGGTAATGGAGAGTGACCGTCAATATATAGAGAATAATAGGTTGGTGCCGTGGATGGAGAAAGTTTATCTGGCGAGGCGGAGGAATTTATTGGGTGAGCCGAAGGCGAACCCAATAAATTCCGGAGCAGAGCCAGATAAACTTTTTCCATCCACGACACCAACCTATTACTCTATTTATCCTGTCACCATTTTTTTAAAGAATGTTATTAGGCAAACAAACTTTAATAACACTATCGGAAATATTTCTGTATAAACAAAGAAGGCCCGAAGCGTGCATTATTCTACAACAATGCACTCGCAGTTCTTATTATCTCCCTGTATATTTTCACATTGAGGGCGCCATTTTGTTTCAAAAATGTGATAAATAAAAACATTTGTTTGTCTAATTTTGTTGTGAAAACTATCTAGAATGAAAGAAAATGGTCTAACTAAGAAAATGAATTCGAACACCAATATCTTTTATTCAGTCGTTAACGCTGTACAGACGTTTAAAGTATTGTTTACGTGACGTCACAATGTAGCGCTAAACAGCACGTGCAAAACAATCAAATCAAGTACGCTATTTTAATATCGCAAACGAGTTAAGTTTTACATTTATTTCACTTTTAATAATTTGTATTTCGCTTCGAAAAATTATAGAGTGAAATAAAATAAACAAACAAAGTTTTATCAACGTTTCCAAAACTCGTTATTCTACACACAGAAGATTTAACGACAGATTTTACATTTTTCCTTGAAAAGTAGTCCGGCAAACATGCATACCACGTGATCAAGTGCCGTAGATCAGTAAAAATATATGGCACCTTGTTATCGGGCCGAAATTGATACAAGTGACAGGATAAAAAAGGGTGACTGTTCGGGTAAAATTCGAGTCATATAATGTAACAGAAGGAATAGAATATAGAAAATGGCAATTGAAAAAAATAATTACTAAGTTTGGAATAACAGATATTATTTTATGCTTTTCAGTGGATTACTGATTTATCCGTGAAAATTATATTTGGTAATTTCACAGTGAAAATTATCAAAATATAATTTCACTCTTTTCAATGACGAAACTACTTTTTTAAGATTTTCCCCATGTGGTACCTCAATTTTATTTTTGCTGACAATTCTGACAATGTCAGGCTGTTTAAAGAAAAAGCAAAACTGAAATTGATAAATAACTTAAATGTCAAAAGTAATAAAAAGAAGAAAACTTACTTCTATTCATTCAAATTCCAATCACCAAATTTCGTTTTTTTTTTGTTTCATTTTTACAGTCTCAAAAATACATTCCTTCCCCATGCAAAACTGCTCTTGATGACATTTGGGCATATTAAAGTATCCTACGAGAAATAACTGCCGTATGCTTTATGAAAAATTGAAAGCATTGACAGCCATAACTCGAAGAATAAGTTAAATCAACCCAGCGTTCTTGAGCAGGTTTCCAAGTTTTCCATTTTCCTAGCTCCTTTTCTGAATGTTTTCACATCTGTCAACACTTATTTTTTGTCTGTTACAATCCTCAAATAAGTTTTCTTTCTTTTATAAATGTGTATGACTAACAAATCCAAATTATATCCCTCTGAATCTTACACAATTATTTTCCTCCCATGAAATACACAACTTTAAAAAATGGCTGCCGCTTACAATTTACAAAGCCAGGTCTAATATAAATTCGCACTTAGTAACAGAAATATGGATGGATGGTTGGACTTTTTCTCCTACAAGAATTGTTTGTTTTTATTATCAAAGCAAGCGATCATTCATATTTTTTTAATAAAATTAATAAATATCACCGTCATTTAATGTTGATTGGCGGACTTATTTTTCAGCTCAAGACTTCTTTTTTTAATGAGAAATTCCGAATAAATGGGGCTCTCAATGGGGGAAACAGTTTTAATATTAACGTTAAAATTATGGAAATTTCGTTTTAACTTGTTTTTAAGCATAAAATAAAAAGAAAATTTGTCTGTTTGTTGTGTAAGATGTAATTTTATTTCATCTCGTGAACTTTAAAAACAGTATTCTCACTCGTGGCTTCGCCACTCGTGAGAATACTGTTTTTAAAGCCCACTCGATGAAATAAAATTTCATCTTACACACAAACAAACAAATATCCTCTATTTCTTGAAATAAAAATGCGACTTTATAACGACTTTACAGATGTCATTATAACAGACAAACAAAGTCATTTCCCATTCTGATTCTTCTATGTTTATGGTAATGGAATGATTGAAACTCTTGTAAACTTAATTTTGTACAATAAATTTTATAAGAAATAATTAAATATCATAAAGCATTTATCTATTGTACTCTGTACATATTGTTAAAGATCCTGTAACACAATTTTTAATGGTTTAAAATCATAAATATGATGCTCAAATTAAGATTTATCAATATTGTAGGTTCCAGAAAGTATTATTTATAAAGATATTACCGAATTTTAACATTTCATGTAAAGAAAGGGAGGTAATAAAAATTGATTTTCTATAAAGTCAAATTTTACTAATAAATGAATGCATGTATTTTAATGATTGTATATTATAAGCACAAATATTTGCAGTACATATTTTACATATTCTTCGGTGTTGGTGTTTGAAAATTGTTGCATTTGCATAAATATGTTCATATATATAATTTCACTTAGTGTGGTTTACCACTTTGATCACAACATACAGGATCTTTAAGAAATAGAGCATTTAAGAATCAAAATACCAAGATGATTACAATAAGGAAGTGTAACTAGCTTGTATGACTATATTGTCCTTTTTAATCGTATGTTTTAACACAGAAGAAAACATGACAGCGTGAAAATAAATTCGCAGATGAGTGAATCATGTATTTAAATTATTGCAACATTACACGTTTATTTCATTAAGTACACAGTGCATAAGACAAGGACATGATGTCACACTTTATGTAATTAGAATTACATATGTTCTTACATCATTGCTTATCATCCAATTTTTCTTTTATTTGTTTCATCATTGTAATGAAAATGCAATTATATTTTCGTTTGAAAGTTGAATATGATAAACTGCTTCCTTGAAGAAATTGATATAAATACTTTTCATTAACGTTCAACTTTACTTACAGGAGAGTTAAGCTGCAGATCTGCTATATACAACTCCAAAATGAACATATTTGTTGTCGTCTGCTTCGTGCTTGGATGTTCGTTATCAACATATGCTAGTGAGATTCTTGAGTTTATCTGTATATAGATATTATTTTATATATTTATTTTTAGTTTGATTACATGATTTTAAGTTAACTTGCAGTTTCTGTGCTATGTTCGTTATAATTTTCTGATTAGTTATGATCAAACAGACGGAGAGTATCTGTAAAACGCTGCTTCCACTTTCTCTGGAAAAATACATATTTTATCTATTATTTAATGAAATTCCATTTACATGTACATTTGTATGCATTTTAAGAGAAACCATTTTATCACATTGCGTACCCTGTGCGTTACACAAAGATAGCGTAAAGTCGTGTTTCAGTATATTAAATAATCTTTTACTTTTGGGTATTAGATAAAATTGCATTACATTCGTATAACTTCATTTCTTACTTTTATTGTAGTTGTTGATGCTCAAATTGAGGTGGCTTGATATTGTTTTATTCAAGTCGTTCAATAATTAGCGCTGGTGCATTAGAAGTGGAAAATAAGGAAATTGAGTCTTAATAATTGTACTTCACTTCAGTGTTGTTACATTTTTCTGGACATTCGGGATCAATGAGTCTAGCGCTTTTAAATGTAGAGAATTGAGTACCGCTCGCCGGTGCTAGGGTGCGTGAGGGATGTTGCACATTTTCATTATCCCTCATGTACAGACTCAATCAAACCGAGTCTGCAATTTTAATGTAATTTTGCTGTTTTATTGCTTCCGATGGATCACTTTTTTTTCCAGATGTTTAACTAAAGTATGGACATGATTTGTGTGAAGATCTAGCGAAATTCAAATTAATTATCTATATTCCACTTTCATTTTCAGCATATCATACACGAACGTACGCTGGAAACCAACAAAGTAAGTAAGCTGTCTTTGTTGTTTCCTTGAACTTTACATTCATTGCTTAGTACTGGTTGGTTCTAGGAACGGATTCGAGAATCGTAATGATGTGTTGGGTTTCTGAATAATGTTCCTAATATGCTGTATATTCAGTTTAGTATTATATCACCATATAGTGAATCTTATTGCAATGTCAGCATTAGATTAAACATAATTTAAGTTCAACATTAGAAATAAGATTATTTCCTGCATTTGTATTTCAGGATTTAAGTTCATATTTTTTAAAAGTTGGATGCATTTTAAGATAATTCTGTATCGTATTTATGAGCAGTTTCGATCTTCAATATACCTTTATAATACACTATGTTGTAATATATATTATGTCTCTATAGCATGCTGCACTGATTATTTGGGACGTCGTATTCGACCAGGTCAGAATTATTTTGATGGTTGTAACACGTGTATTTGTGGACAAGCTGGCGTGGTATGTTTACATCTTTTTACTGCCTGATAATCTGTATAATACAGCTCTTTACTTTAATACATTTATACTTCTCGTAATTTTAAACTGAGAAATATTCATTTGAGGTATTTTATTACCATAAGGCCAACCTTTACAGTCGACAAGTACCAGTACAAGTTGGGCTGGCTTTATACTCAATGTTATATTGCTCCTCCGTAAAAGTTTCTAAATTTCAGCTGAAACGCCGTTTTCGTCGAGATAACATTTATGCTCACATTTTATATTAGAAAATACTGATAATTGCTCAACAGTCTCTTTGTAAATATAAAATAAACATGTTTTGGGTTCACACAAAGTAGATATGTTATGTTTAAAATTCTACACACAGTTTGAGTGGTCAAAATATGAATATATATTGTCATAAAAAAAACTGAGAAAAGACAAACTTTTCTTTTCAAATTAGACACATTAAGTAACAATTTTATAGATTTCAATAAATTTCTGTTATTAAAATATTTTACTCAAGAATGAGCATAGTATATCTTTAACAATGCCGACTATGTACATCAACGAACCATGCAATATTCTCAATCTTGTTGTTTTGGGCAACTTTTAAGATTTTCATTTTGGACTATTTTTATACTTATTTTTTTTAATCCTTACGACCATTGTTTGTTTTAAATATCAGAATGCGATAATTAAAATTATCTATTTTTTCAGTTAAACAAGTGTTTATATCACTGCTTATTGAATGTTATTTGTTCTGTTCTGATATAAAGTTTATATTTATACAACTCAATGTCTTTTATTTATTTGTCAGCCTTCCATATGTACATTGAGATACTGTGGACCGACTGATGTAAATACTGGGAGAACTTCTTACGGCGGTGCTCAAGTATTACCAACTATACCAGTCGATCCTGTTCCTCCAGTTAGACCAATTAATCCATCATACAACGTTAATCCGATGGCACCCGTTAGACCAATTAATCCATCATACAACGTTAATCCGATGGCACCCGTTAGACCAATTAATCCATCATACAACGTTAATCCGATGGCACCCGTATCTCCGACATATCCACCATATCAAACAAGGAGATACTAACTCTCGGCCTGTGTTTGGAAGACGTTGTATCAGTAGATTGTAAAATACATGATCCAATGTTTTCGAGTATTGGATCAACGATGATCTCGACAAGAATATAAAAAAGATAATAATTTCAAGGGATTATATTAAGAACATGTATGTTTTAGTGAACAATATCTATCAAATTTCCGTTTTTGTTATAATTATATGGACAATAAATTTAAGTCAGCCATTATGTGTATTATTTTTATCTATTTATTTAAATCAAGATGTGGTTCAGACTTAAATGACTGCATATGAATACCTGATACTATAAAAAAATGCACTTGTACAGTTAAGGGGTAATACGATATAGTGGGCAATCTGTAAATATCAGAATATTTGTTTTCATATTTATGAATATTATACCTTATTGAATAAACTGGAAGAATGTGTTTATGTTTATGAAATTTCGATTATAATAATGTGTGTGGCTCATTCACGGAATCATAAATAAGTAGCTGAGTGTTTTAAATAACTAGCCGTAATGAAGTTTTTTTTGCATTTTAAATCCTGTAGGATCCGTAGCTTAGGTAACGAATCAAGAATTTAAGTAAAATTAAAAACAAACACACAAACATCACAAGCGTAACCACTATAACGTCGATAAATGAAATAAAAATTAATCAAAGAGCACCATTTCTTGTAAACGTCGGCTGACGGCAAAATTGAATATCAAAATTGTACACAACCAGGGACCAAAAATATAACATATAGCTTCAGCAAACCGGCTATTCAGGATAACGAACTAGTATTACCAATTTCCCCCGTTAGTGAGCGACTACTTATCTAATATGATTTCTGAATCAGCGGTGAGAGAAAAATGACCATTAGATTCAATGTCCGAGATCAAATGTTCCGCAGAAATGCCTCGACCGGGGATCAGACTAGCAACCCCAAAGCAATACTTGGTGGTACACTGACATCTGACAATTATATATATATGATCCAAACCCTATTGAGCTAAGCAGTGGTAAATATAACTGATAAATTTCGTAACTGAAGTGACAGTGCACAAAGAAATTAGCCTATGAATTTTCATATGACTATAATTCTGTGTAAGACCACCCTACATTATAATAAATTTAAACGTTTTATGTAAATTTGAACTGTCCATGATCGGTCTGTTGGGGAAGAAAGGAAGTTAAAAATGTATTTCAAATAATTTCGAATTTTGTTGCAAAACATTAGACAGAGAAAAGACCTTATGGGCAGGTAATACTGTGCTTTATTTATATTTTAAATATCTTTATTAACTCAATTTCTTCATGGAAATTGCAATAAGTTATAATCGTGACAATTGATGCTATTATTATACCAACATTTCGTAAGCACTAATCAATTCTTAATTTGTCTGACCAACTTCCTGCCATGGTTCTTACGAGAGCTATGAAAATGAACTCGAAAATTGTGCATTTCAATGCTAAATTACTTGACAAAGGACACGAATTCCTAAATGAAGAAATCACATATATTCCTCAGACATAATTCAACGATCAATTTTTAACTAAAATCATTTTATGAGAACAAATTATAAAACATTTTTATAAAACGAGTACATCTTTCATTTCTGTTATTATAACTACGAGTATTTCCGACAAGTAGCTGATTGTACTGAAATTGTCATTATTCCGTCTGTATTAAATTGTTTGTGTAAATTTTGCAAATAGGTTGTAAAGATAAATGCAAAAGATATAAAAGATATAAAAGATAAAATAATATGTATCATGAATGTTTATATCAAAAAAAATTTACCCTCCTCAACACCCCCGCACACACACACACACACACACACACACACACACACACACACACACACACACACACGCGCACCAACGCACGCACGCACACACGCACACACACACACACACACACACATAAGGTAGTTGTTACTTCATTACTTGGATAATTGTGAAATTGTGACAGAGAAAGATTGTAGAGAGATCTTTTTATATATTAACGGTGGCACAAAGGTGACAAGTGTGTGTTTTTATTTATCTCGTGGCCACGAGACACTTGTCGTGGCCACGAGTTACTAAGTCGTGGCCACGAGATAGCTAAGTCGTGGCCACGAGATACTATGTCGAGGCCACGAGTTACTAAGTCGTGGCCACGAGATTGCATAAATCGTGGCCATGAGTTACTATGTCGTGGCCACGAGTTAATAAGTCGTGGCCACGAGATAGCTAAGTCGTGGCCATGAGATACTATGTCGTGGCCATGAGTTATTAAGTCGTGACCACGAGATACTATGTCGTGGTCACGAGTTACTAAGTCGTGGCCACGAGATAGCTAAGTCGTGACCACGAGATACTATGTCGTGGCCACGAGATAGCTTAGTCGTGGCCACGAGGTACTATGTCGTGGCCACGAGTTACTAAATCGTGGTCACGAGAAAGCTAAGTCGTGGCCACGAGATAAATAACCAATCAGATTACACCATTTATGTGAATTTCCCTAATTAACTAGACATGTGCTATAGTACAAGGATGCCCCTTCTTCACCAGCCTGTAAAAGTGCCATTTATACAACTTATTGACTTGTCAATAATTTTACATTTAGCGTTAATGTGACCCTGATTTTTTACCCAATGACCTCGAAATTATTAGATGTCATCTACTGATCAGGTGCAATGATCTTTCTTCTAAATTATTCATCAGACAAGGAGTTTACCTTATAGGCTATTTACTGTTCATGGGCAATGTCCCTTACAAATGAAATAAACCAGGACTTATTCCTTCTCATGTTATCGTATAAACAAGGTTAACAGGCCGTAGTACGTACAAACTGACCGATTTGATCACAAACTTGCCCAACAAAGAGCTATAGTCAAAATTAATGTATGATGGGCCTTGGGAAGTGACTTTCTATTATGATCTTAAAGACAAGTTCAAAGTGAATATCTTCAGTATTTTCAAAGATTAATGTTGCATGTAAAAGTAAGTTGTTAAGTTTAAAAAATCATAATATATATAGTGTATTCTGATTGGTTAATTATCTCGTGGTCACGACTTAGTTATCTCGTGGCCACGACTTAGTAACTCGTGGCCACGGCATAGTATCTCGTGGCCACGACTTAGCTATCTCGTGGCCACGACTTAGTAACTCGTGGCCACGACATAGTATCTAGTGGTCACGACTTAGCTATCTCGTGGCCACGACATAGTAACTCGTGGCCACGACATAGTATCTCGTGGCCACGAGATAAATAAAAACACACACACATGTCACCTTTGTGCCACCGTATATATTTGAAAAAAGGCAATAAAAAGAGAACTGGAATGTTTTGACTTAATTATGGGACCTTTATCACTGTGGTATACCGTACCCCGGATATTGCTCGATATAATGAGGACTTTCATCCCATTTCGCGACTTTGAACGGGGAACAATGGTAAGTTCAGTATTTTGGATTGGTTATAGTAAAACAAATACTTCGATAATTTCTTAAGTCACTGAAAACCCATAAATGTTGAGAAATAGCTTTGAAATGTAATTAGGAGGTAAAATTCGTCTCGTTGCTAACATTATAAATGAGCTCTGATCAGTCAAATTTGATGTTTTGTGCATATACTTCCTTAAAAGAAAAACGTGACACAAATGAATTGTGATAACGATGATGAAGTTTATGTTGTAAATGTTCAATCAACAATAACATCTCAGATGACAGCGCATTTTGAGAATAAATACACATGTCAGTGTACCAAGTATTGCTTTGAGGTTGCTTGCCGGTGTCACGAGTATTGCTTTTTAGTGTAACGAGAATTGGTCATTTATTAATATTATTATCGAGTAAATGCGAGGAGTAATGACAGACTTTTATCCACACTCAATCTTAAATATTTCTTATTGTATATACTTATTGACGCTATATGTGCAGAATATGCAGAGTTCGGAGGTACTTAACTGGAAACATCTGCGAATAATCCACAGGCAGTTAAATTTTCTTTCCTGCTCATGTAAAAACTGAGTCGAAAAAAAATTGTTAGTAATTTTCTGAGTTAACAAAGTTCTCGTTGCTATGGAAAGATCAACTTTTTTCAGAATTTATTAATAATCATTGCATATCTAAATATTAACAGTAACAAAATTGCATTGACGCTGCCTCAAGATTGTCAATATTAGCCGGTAATGAGCAAGTGTGCCAATATCTGATATCAACCCACTTCCTTCTATGCCAAAAATCCATGTAAAGGTAACTTAGGTCATTTTGCACCTGCATTCTAGCAACAGCACACCGTCTGCACGTGAAATGTTACTATTTTTGTTAAATTTGTTGATATTTTACTAAGTGTGCAGATATCTTTATCACACTTACCCTGTAAAAACGTACATTGTATAATTAATGTCATCTAAATATGTTTTTCTTCTATTTAAAGATAGATCTCCCCGATCAAGTTT